TACCCGAGAGTGAATTAAGGTATGGTAAAAATGCTTAAATCCCCTAAATATTTGAGCCAAGCAATAGATTCATAAATCTATGAATTAAGGAACGCTTAGTAGAACTTTACATGTATTTTGAATTGTAGCTTAGAAAGAAAGTATCTAAGCTATTTTAAGATGCTAAAAGGAAAGTTTTAAAGAGTTTATTATTTTGTGTGTATATAAATGTGCAATATGCAACCATATATGTATGCATGTTCACATGTGTGTATTCAGAGACACATGCACATGCTATCCACATATGTATGGAAGCCAGAGACTGACATAGGTAGGTATCTTCTTTGATTGCTTTCTGCTTTATTTGCTGAGGCAAAGTCTCTCACGGGAGCCAGAGTCCTGGGATTACAGGTGAGCTGTCATGAATACCCACCTGGCTTTTTTGTGGAGGCTGGGGATCCAAAATCTGGTCTGCATGCTCATACAGCAAGTGCTTCATCCATGGAGATGCATTCCTGGTCCCTAGTCTACTAAAAAAAATTTTGTAGGAAACAATGTAGAAATTAACAGAAAAGATTTAGGAAGACAACCAAAGAGAATTACAATATTGAAAGCAAAGCCAAAATGGCTTATTCAAAAATGATGAAAATAATTACTCTGTTTTTCTGACGATAAGAGGAAGATTTTGAAGGCAGATATTAGCATTGTGTAGAATAAGACTCATGCAGTCATAACAAATAAGAAGTTGTATTTTTTTAGGTGAAATAGAAATCTTTTACTTAAAATAACACTTTGCAAAACTGATCAAAGCAGAATGTTAATATCTGTAAGGGGCTACCATATTTTTTTTCAAAGTAATCATAATGAAAAGAAACATGAAACTGCAATCTGGGCAGCTTCCCCAGAAGCCACACATATCCTGGTGGCTTTCAGGAGGTCGGCAGACACTGACTGATAGCAAAATTTGGCAAGAATCATTCAAACTGTGGAATACTGTTTTCAGCTGAGCCAATAGGCTCTGAGCTATGTGAGGAAGGGCAGGCAAGTCAGGGCATCGACCCAAGTTTATTTGACTCCAGCCCACACGAACCAGCCAAGCCATGCTAGGAGAAAGTGTGGACTTTACTCCAAGTACTGCCAAGGAGAAAAGAGAGGCTGGCCAGACCAACCCCCAGCCCTCTTTGAAAAGTGACCTTAGAGAAGAGATGCTTACTAATAACAGCCCTGGGAAGGATAAAGGTCCTATCTTGGAGGTTGTCACCATCAGTGTGAAAGAATCAGAGCATCTTTTGTCCTGGTGCAGCCGCAGGGCTTTATCTGCGAGAGATCGGGAGATGGCTTTGTTCTTAAGCACAATGCTTCTTGGCAGAGACTGTGTTGGACCCTCAAATGAGTGCCCCGGCCACAGAAACAAGACTGGAGTGAGTCCAACCCCCAGCTGAGAATGGCCCTAGCAGCTCTGAACTGGACTGGGGGAAGCCCACCCACAAGTCTTACTGCTGGCCTTCCCACTCTCCTATAACTGGGGAGAACAGTAAGAAGAGACTTGTCTTTTCTTACCTACAAAAGGCTGATGTCCTGGCGTAGTCTAGGTGATAAGGATCAACCATCGGCTGAGCTGACATCACTGAATAACCCCTCCTTCCTGCCTCCCTCCACCCAGCCATGTCGACATAGCTCTCCCCTCTGGACAAGATGAGTTGGGTTGAGACCCAAAGGTATTCTCCATCTGCAGAGCCTGCTGTACTTTTCTGGAACAAGAGTAAGATCAGACTTGGGCACAGCTCAATAATTGTCCTGCAGTCCTTGACCAGAGAATTTACTGTCTTAGACTACAGAGTCACTTTGACAAAATGGACTGCTTTTCTTGTTGGGAAGAGAACAACTTTTTACACATACAGTGTCGGGAAGGGAGGCAGCAGAGGGGTCTCTGTCTGCAGAGCAAGTGGAATCTCTCTCTCTCTCTCTCTCTCTCTCTCTCTCTCTCTCTCTCTCTCTGCATAACTGCTGCTTCCATTGCCTAAGTGTTAAAATGCTTAATATCCTTGCTTGGCTTGGGATAGTTCCAAGTCCTTTAGAAGCCTGCCCTTCTCTACCTCTCAACACTAGTTCTTCCTTACCTGTCCTTAACACTCCACGGCATGTTCATGTGCACATGTTCCAGTGTGCTCATGTGTGTGCTCAAATGTGTCTATGTGTGGATGTCTGCAGTGTGTGTGTGTGTGTGTGTGTGTGTGTGTGTGTGTGTGTGTGAAGTCACACAGCGCTTAAGGCAGATTCCAAACCTTTTAAGCCCACTTCTGTTTTAAAATTTAGCCAGAAACTAAAGAATACAGAACATGGGAAAGAATGTAGGCAGTGATCCCAGAAGGCTTTATCTAACTTAAGGGAAACATCTGAAAGAGATTCCTTCTGTCTAGAAATGGCAAATCTTTCCTAACCGCTGCAGCACAACAGCTCCTTTGGGCTGCACAGATAGGTGGGCATCAGAGACATGGCTTATGGGTCATTTTGTAGAGCCTTCTGTCCCACTCCCTACCCCCACATTGGAAGAAAGGGAAGAAGGGAGGAACAGGGAGGAAGCTGAGCTTTAAAAGGGATGAGGTTAAGTCTCTACCCACCTGCCTAGGAGCTATTCACAGCTAGCTACTAGCAATAGCTTGTGTGTTTTCCAGCATTTTCTCAAATTTGCTTTTAATTGAATATATGTGCCAACATGGACATGTATCTCAACTATGATGCAGATTGGCTCACGCTGCTCTCTCTCGTTTGGTGGCTCTCGAGCAGACTTCCTGATAGGAGTACTGATTTATCTCATTTTAAAAGGCTAAATGGCACTTCAGGACAGAGATGGACCATGATGTACTGCGTTGATCTTCTGCTGAGGGCCATTTATTTCTACTGCATTGTAAAGCTAAGACATGAAGTATACTCTGTGCTTCCCACTCGCCAGGCTTTCATCGAATTGCCTATTTGTCTTATTCTCATAGTTTTAACTGGGGCAATTACATTCCAGAGAAGGGAACCAAATACCTTGAGTTTGAAGTCTGGTGTTTTCACACCCAGGGTTGCCATTCATAATGTACCTGACCTTGACAGAGGCACTTGACACATCTCAGTTTGAAAGGCTTTGCTTGGGAAATGGTCTGATCAACTCAGTGCTACTGTAAGGAACAAGAGAAAATGCAGTCTGGAAGTGGTAAGTGGCATCTGAGCACCTTGGGTCCTCTCCAAGCCTCTC